GACTATGACCAAGACTTTGACAGTCTTGGTCTTGTTCTTGTTTTGCTCATCACTAACTATAAAGCGTAATAAATGTTTAAGCATGCAAAGTTAAAGGTTTATAGATGTGGTTTTTGATGTTATTCATGTAAATCTAAAGCACAATGAGTACACATATTTATTCAAGTTAAAAAAAAAAGATATAATGACATCGTTATGAAAACATATTTGTCATGTCGAGCAAGTTTTATGCGCATAAATAAAATTAAGTAAATATGAAAACATACATTCAAAAAAAAGTATATTTTTTTAATAGATCATTTTTTAAATATATTATCGCTACATGATTAATACTAGTTGTGCGCAGAGAAACGAAAAAAAATAATTTAGTATTATTTACATTGACTATCTAAACAATAACACAAATTTTTTAATTTACTATTATTTATTCAAAACCAATAAGACAAGTCTAAAAATTAAAAAAGTACCAATGTAATTTTAATAGCGTTGTGTTTTATTACTGGCACTGTAGTTCTTTTACCACTTGATGTAGTTGAAACGAATGATATACAATGGAGAACCAAATTTCAATAAATGCTTAAAATATAAGCATTTTATTTTTTATCTAATGATAGATTCAAACAAAATAATTTATTTCGATGCTTAAGTTGCATATAAAATATATTCCATAAAAAAAGCTAAGCAGCGCATGCTTCGGATTTATACTTGAAACCAAACAAGAGCAAAAGTATTAAATTTTATTAAAATAAAAATATTTTTGTGTATAAGGGTCTTTTATTTATATCTATTCAATACTATTTTTTTATATTTCTGATTATTTATTATTCACTTAATTTTAGTATGTGTTCTTTAGATGTGAGTTTATTAAACCAATAAACGCAACAAAGAAAACATTGACAAGGAATTTCCACTTAATTATTTTTATTTTAGGATTTAAAAATAGAAATTTATTACTATGAAAATTAATGTTTAAATATATTTAATTGCAAATTTCAAATTAATTATAAATTACAATTTTATTCATCAATCTAGAATATAGAGATGATTAAATATAAGCCGAACACCACTCAAACGAAATTTATCAGATGAAAATATTGCACACCTTAACGTTAGAAATATGGATATGTTCCAATGCAAAATATTTGATGTATGTGTTATAGAGAGATCTAAAATTCTAAAGATCTAGAGATCTAGATTAAAAAAATAGACGTTCCAACAATTTGTCATCTATAAACAACTATCCTCTACAATTGAAAACCATGCCATTTTTGACAAATATATTAGATCTATCTATTTGATGAAAACATGAATCAAAATATAGTTTTTAGTGGTATTACATAACAATTTTCTTAAGTTCAACATACATTTTGAACAGTCCTATCATAAACAAAGTACTGGATGGGCACAAAAATATCATTTCAATTTTTGATAATGTCCCAAAATACCAGTGACGGTTCGTGGTTTGGACGACGGGACAATCGCACCCCCTACTAAAATGAACTGTATATTCTTAATTCTACATTTTTATTAAAATTGCAAATTTTTAAATAGTAAAATAGTTGTAATACATTTGTCGTGTGCAACCATTTAAGTTGTTTTCCTCGGTATATGAGAGTACGCATGCGCATACGAGCAGTGTTTAGACGACCGGCAGCGTCGTCCATAAGGTAAAATATTATTATATTACTATTTTGGGCAATTTATTTTTAGATATTACTGCGTGTTCACTAGTCGTTATCGATTGCTATTATTGATTAATTGCTGTTATTTTTATTTTCTGCTGCGACCTTTAAAATAATAATATGTGTACTGTGTTTTAATTTATTATATTTAATTTAACAATTTTTTATGCCTATGACTAATGGTATTAAATTAAAAATCACACCCCCACCACCATCACTCACGAGTCGCCACTGAAAAATACTTATGTCTTTAAAAGTTACGTCAAAATAATATTAATACAATGTGTTTTTAAATAAAAAAATAAAAACTAGAACATAATTTGGTGTATTTGAATTTAAAGTCATATAATTCAAAAGTCATACAATTGCAAGTAAAAATTGGCGATATTAAAGTGTTTTGCACAGCAACGGAATATCTACACCATTCAAACCAAACCAAATTTAAGGTTATTAATATTTAACTCAATAAAATAAAATTCAGCTAACAGTATTCATTTGAGTACAAATTTATAAGTATGAACGTGTCAATTGCGCGAGATTATTTTTTTATTTACTACTACGGTTATCTAAAAGAGTAGATAATTGTGTTTACCACACATTCAAAATCCGTTAAAAAACTTTTCTTCAAAAATATTGTAATTTTTTTTTAAATTACTAAGATGCAAATATATTATAGTTTCATTGTTTTAAAACGTTGTAAAACTTAAATTATAAGAAAAAAAAACAATTTTTAAACACATAGTAGCATACCTGAAGTACTATAAAATTAAAAAAATTATACAGAACAATTCAATTAGCAAAAACCACTTAATTATTCGAAAATAAAAATTACATGGAATATTTTTTTAATTCTCTTAGTGACAGGTATACCAATTTATCAATCATAATATATTTTTTATGTCCATCCCTTATGTCTTATAAAGTTAGTAACTATATTTTTTTAAAGGGAACATAGATAGTTAAATAGCTTGTTTATTAAATAATGATCTCATTAAGAAAATGATGGTCAATAATAACTTGTAGACCAAATTTTCACATATTATTGACACTTTTATGCCTTAGCAGGAAGAGAGTACGGTTAAGAAATGTCTAGTGATAAAAATAATAAAACACTAGTCTCACCTTCAACAATTACTTTAAATTTTTTGAACTTGAACTAGATAAAATCACATGTATTCATATGTATACATCTATTCATATGTTTGTATTTAATTGAGTTTGCTGATTTCAATTATGCCGGACCCCAATTGTACTGTGAAGATCTTGAAATGATCGTTTAACATGCTCTATTATTATAATATTATATTTTTAAGATGCTTATTGTTATCGTGATTTTTTACGTTTAAAAATTAATCGTTTATTATTGTTTTTGATGTAGATGTCGTATACAGCATGGAACAGATTTAACTGACAACTCATATTACTTATGATCTACATAACATTTTATACTTTTTTTTTTTTTAATCAATTTTTACAATTTAAAAATTTTTTTTAAATATGTTTTATCTTATTTTTCACAATTACAAAAAGTATTTTAAAAATTAATTTTTTATCATCGATGCGAAGCTAAAGAATGTTTTTTTTCTTTTTATTGATATATTATTTTTTTGTGTTTGTTACCAATTTTTCTCAGCTCTCACCGAGCCGATTTCTTTCAACGATACGTCAAAAGATCACAAATCGTATCTAGTCAAAGACATTACCCTCAAAAATTGAAAAAATTTCCCTTGTTCCCCTTAAATGAGANTTTTGAGGGTAATGTCAAAGACATTACCCTCAAAAATTGAAAAAATTTCCCTTGTTCCCCGTAAATGAGAGAAAACTCCAAAAAAAAAAAATTACAATTTTAAAAATCGCTCATTTTTGACATTTTAAAATTTTTTTTTACTTANTGTTCCCCTTAAATGAGAGAAAACTCCAAAAAAAAAAAATTACAATTTTAAAAATCGCTCATTTTTGACATTTTAAAATTTTTTTTTACTTAAAACTGCCATAACATTTTTAGAAATGTCCAAATTAATATAATATTTTTTTATTTAGTTACGTGAGGTATTTACCTATCATTTTGTATATATTTTTTTATAAATCTGACCCTTTATCTGCCCATAGTTAGGATTCAAAATGACAACTTTTTCACAAAAAATTAACTTTTTCAACTAAAATTTTGATAGTGTTCCGGAAATACTGACACTTTTATATTATCTAAAGTTAGAGCTAATTTAATATACTTTATTATCGAAAAAAAAATTTCGGACTTTATTTTGACTTCACTGTGAAAATAACTACCCTATGCAATTTTTGTGTTAAAATATTCGATTTTATATTTTACATTTTTAACTTTATAATGATATAACTTATTGAAAAGTGTGTATATTAGTAGCGTTTTGAAGTTTGTAAAAATTTGAATTTTCATGTACTTTTTACGGTTACAAACATTGAAATACGTATTGAGAAAAGGACAGAAGAAAACGCTATCTTTTCATGATTACTGTGTATACATATGATGATAGTGTGTATACATTACAAACTTGGCATAAATACCATGATAAGAAATCAGATAAGGAAATTATTACTTATCACTCTCATTGAAAAGTATATTGAAAAGATAGCGTTTTCTTCTGTCCTTTTCTTAATACGTATTTCAATGTTTGTAACCGTAAAATAGTACATAAAAATTCAAATTTTTACAATCTTTAAAACGCTACAGAATATTTACTATTGAATATTAATAAGATATTTTTTTACTAAAATTTTTCTTAAATTCTACTCTACAAAATAGCTATCTTAGATTTTTTTTTTACATTTTATTTAAAATTTAAAAATAATTAATATTTTTAATAAAATGTAAAAAAATTAATTATTGAGATATAGCTATAGACCTAACGTATAACTATTATTTAAAAAAAAATCAGCTAAAAATATTAACTGGATCAAAAGTTATTTAAGTTGTCAGTAAGTGGTGGGCCACCCTGTATATATCTTTTTTAAATAATTTTAATTGATAACTAACATAAAAATTATTCCTCATCTCCACTACACTGGATCCCAAAATGAACTTAACTTTTTTTTTGTAAATTTTGAAACTATCTCATATTCTTACTCTTAAAATATTTAGTTTATACTAAACTCTATTTGAATAATTAAAACTAAAAATAAAGGAATGAAAAATGATTTATTTTTCGTATACTTATTTTTAATAAATAACAAACATAAAATTTTAAGGACATTTAAACGAATAGAATAAAAAATCTAAATACAATACGATAACATTCTTAAAATTATACAGAAGAAATATTTTCAACTTTTTCCGGTAGTCTTTGAACTACTAGAACTTTATTTTATTAAATAATTGTCTTAAGGAATATGAGGAAAAAAATTTAAACTATATTTAAATAATCATTTAATTGGTTTGATATTTTATTCTTAGATAAATCAACTGAATACTCAATAAATGAATTAATAATTTTAAAATCAATATCTAAAAAAGCTAAGTTAGCGTAAGAAACAAGTGCATTGAAACAAACAAAATAATAAATGTAGCCGGGAATTTCTTTATTTCGATTGATAAAACTACTTAATATGTCCTGTGTATCTTTATCCATCAAATTGTATAAAGATACAATATTTTCTTTTTCCTCCTTTAGCTTAATCTCTTCGCCAAAGAAATCCTTCATATAGAGTTTAAATTGCTCGGAAATGTCTTTAAAGCTAGAATGGTATGAATCTATTGCCTCTTCGATGGGCTGCTTCAAACGATCCAAGATAATACATAAAATTGAGTCATCTTTCATATCTAAAAAAAAAAGAAGTTCGGATAAAACTAAATTTACCTTCAAGTTATAAGTTTTTAAGATATAATTTACTGTTTTTTTATTTGTAAAGTCGTAAATTATACATTTTAAATAATGGAAAATTAACCGATACACTATTATTTTCAAAAACAGTGTAAACCTTTGATGAAAGTATCCTAATCGAGAAATCCATTCATACATAGAAATATCACCAATGATAGTAGCTTCATAATCTCTAACCATTTTTTTAAATACTACATTCCAGTCATGCAATCCAAGAATTACACCAAGATGTTTATCGTCACTTTTAAAGTTTTCTATATGGAGTACATCTTTATATTTAGGATAGTTATAATTTTCAGGGTTGTTGAACACATTAAATTTCTTAATTTGATTAATAATAAACTGTTTATCTTTATCTGCGAGTTTGCAAATATTTTTAATATTTTTTGTTTTTTCACTTATTTTTACGTAATATTTGGTAAACTTGTCTTCGTCATTATATTCATTTCCCTTTTCACAACTTGTAGCAAAATCGGTCAGAGTTTTATCGACTAAAGCGTGAGCCTTCATAACTGACGGGTATTGTTCTGGCCGCAGTGCCATAACCGATAAATACTTGGCGTACGAGTGAATTAACCATATCTGATACATTCGTTTCCTTAAATTTGGTACTCTTATTGCGCTGTTTATCAGTGCGTGAGTGTTGTCAACAAATGAGTAAACGTCATTTCCAATCGTATAGTCTCCTTTGACTTCACAATACTTCATCAGTCTAGCCAGATGAATACCGTAATAAGCAAAACTACAATTTAAGTTTATATACATGGAATCTATTTTTTGTGCTAATATGACCCTCGAAACAGAAGTCAACGATGTCGGTTTATCTAATGATTTGTAGCCAGTATCTAAAGAACGGAGCATTCGTCCATATGTATTCATCAACTCATTTCTGCTTGGTAAATCATCAGTACTAATTACACAAAAGCTACAAAAAATATCAGGGGCACAGAGTGTCGTAATAAAAATAATATACCGTAGCATGACAAGAAAAGTGATCAATTCACTTGACAAAACTGCAGTAACTGTTTAAAACTCATTTTATATTATTTATTTTATGTAGTATCATTTATTTGTTCAATATAATTCAAACTACTTATAAAAAAATGTTTAAAACTAAAAACTTATTGATCTCAAATTGAAATAAATTATGAATATGCGAGTTATTTAAACAAATTCGCACTATTATTTTTTAAGAGTTAAATAGCTAAAATTTTTATTTTATTTGTACTTAAAAAATTCTCAGCATGAAACATGTGATAATTTTAGTGAATTTACCAATTTTTTTTTTTTCATTATTTTTTAAAACAGCTCAAATAATTTGAGTACTTTAAATGTTTCATAGTTTAAATATTATATTACGTTCTAAAAATATTTGCATTTAAAATTCGATAAATATAATTTACACGCAGTTGCGATTTCATTGTTTTATACAAGGTGTTCAGTGAGTAAGGAAACGGGTCGATTTTTACAAACAATGAGAACAATGGATACCCGTTTACTTATTTACTAAACACCCTATATAAGTGTATTTAACAGAAAACTTAACTTTAATAAAGTACTTACATAACTGTTATAAAATATACTTAATACTATATTAAAACAAGTGTCTAATATGCTGTGCATATGTACTGTCTGTGGTGTATTTAGAATTAGGCCAAATGGGCCGTAGCCTATGGTGCCATTTCTTGAGAGGTGACTATTTGGTATTATAATTTAAAAATTATTAATTATTTACTTAAAAAAAATTGTACAAAGTTTTTCAAGGAAACATAATAATTTAAAATAACTTATAGTCAAATTTATTCATAGAAAATACGAATGTAAAACTTATACCTAAAAAACCCAGCACAGTGGTGTGTCAGCACATTGAGCACGTAGCATAGTAGGGTCCAGTATAGATATAATCTGACAGTGATTAAAATCACTATCATAAAAAACACTTCGATGCTAATCTGTAGATAGTGTCTAATTATTTTTTTTCATATTAAAGTATATTCCATTATCTTTAATTTAATATATATATAAGTGTCAATATTTCCGGAACATTTTCAAAAATTAAGTTAAAAAATTTTTACTTTCTTTATGCATTTCTAAATTTTTAACCCTCCTGTATAAAGGAAAATAGTCCAATTTAAAAAAAAAGTATGTCATATGAAAGAAGTATATAAAAAATATTTTTCATAATAATAATTGTATAAATATACACATTTTTTAAAAAGTTATAGAAGTATAAAGTTAAAAATGTAAAATATAAAATCGAATATTTTCATACAAAAATAGCATACGGTAGCCATTCTTACCGTGAAGACAAAATAAAGTCCGAAATTTTTTTTTTCCCATAATAAAGTATATTAAATTAGCTTTAATTTGAGATATATATAAAAATGTCAATTTTTTCGGAACATTTTCATAAGTTAAGATAAAAATGTTGTCATTTTGAATATCCTTTGTGGGCAGGCAATGGGTAGATTTATAAAAATATATACAAAATGATATGTAAAGACATCATATATCTATATAAAAAAATTATATAGATCCATACATTTCTCAAAAAGATATGGCAGTTTTAATTTTAAAAAATATCAAAAATTAGCGATTTTTAAATTTAAGATTTTCCTGGGGATTTCCTCTATTTATAGGGAATAAGGGAAATTTTTTCAATATTTAAAGGCAATGTCTTCAATTAGATACATTTGTGATCTTTTAACGTATCGTTGAAAAAAATTGTTTCGGTAAGGATTGAGAATAAGTGAAAAAACAAATCATAGTAAAATTAATACCTTCTCAGCTTCACATCGAAGCTAATAGTAATCAATCGAAAAAAATTACCGTAAAGATTAATTATATAATAATATAAATATAAAATATTAATAATTATTAAAAAATTAGAAAATACCATTCAGTTATTAGTGTAAAAAAACGGTAGCACAGTGGGGTCGCGGCATAGTGGAGACATTGTATAGTAGGGTCCAGTATAGATTTAATCTGACAATGATTAAAATCACTATCATAAGAAACGCTTCGATGCAAATCTGTAGATAGTGTTTAATTTTAAAAAATTGATGGATAATTGCAAAAGCAACATCAACTTCTATTAAAATAAAATACAAAACCCATAATTATCATACAAAAATAGTATATTTTTCAATATGGTAGCCATTTGCG